ATTCAAGATCATATTTTGGCTCTTGTGGACTTGTTTTCATTTTCTTCAGCTTCAGTTTGAATTTGCATATGAGTAATTGATGGTCTGTTCCACAGTCTGTCCCTGGTCTTGTATAACAATGTGTATACACACACACACAATGTGTGTGTATACACATTGTTAAGTGCTGTTGAGTCAGTTCTGACTCATAGCGACCCTGTATAGGGTTTCCAAAGAACAGCTGGTGGATTTGAACTGCTGACCTTGTGGTTCACAGTCCAATGCTGATCCTACAGCACCACACCAGGAGTCTTGTGTATACACAGAGGGCTTAAAACTTTTCTGAAAAAATGGAATTAAAAGATAATGGAATTTTTCTGTGAACTTTTCGAAGCCCCTCATATATACTTACATGCGTATGTATCCATTTTCATACATATACTTTGATGCTGTAGGATAAACCCTGGAGTGCTACCCACAAGGTTTGAACCATCAGGTTCTAACCCAGCAGCTGCTCCTTGGAAACTCTATGCAGGGTCGCTGTGAATCAAAACCAATTCATCGATACTTAATAACAACAATATATTTGTTTGTTTTTATATATATATTCTAATACATATTGCCAAATGTTGGTTGTCCTGTTTCATGTGTCAAGTTGGAAAAGCTTTGCAAACAGGTTGGTAATTGCCCTACTGTCTTGTTTATAGCCCATTAAGCTGGAGACTGGGGAAGAAAAAAGCCTGCTGGTCAAGTTTGACCCTTCCTATAGAAATGATTTCAACAACTGGGTGGCAGAAGAAATTCTAGCAATTAAGTATTTGGAGCACCCTCAGATAGACAGCCTGAACCTGCGTGGAGAAGTACACTACCCCAACCTCAGTTTTGAGACCATGGAGCTGGATTTTGGCTGCATCCTGAACGACACCGAGGTGATTCGGTACATCACAATCACCAACTGCAGCCCTTTGGTTGTGAAGTTCCGTTGGTCCTTCCTGGTGGATGATGAGGAAAATCAGATAAGGTACTGTCAGCACTGAAATTCTACAGAATCTTCTTCTCTGTGCATATTTTTGTCTCTCAGGCTTTGCCCTAGGTTTCCTATATTCTATTGATAGGCCTTTCATGACTACTTTCCACTGTAATAACTAAATATTGACAGAAGTAACAATGAGCTTAAAATTTCAATATCTCCAAGGTTTTCTAACAAGATGGGCAAATGAAACACCTTTTGTTGTTATGTGCCGTGGAGTCAGTTCCGACTCATAGTGACCCTGTACAGGGTTTCCGAGGCTGTAAATCTTTATGGGAGCAGAAAGCCTCATCTTTCTCCCACAGAACAGCTAGTAGTTTCGAACTGCTGACCTTGAGGTTCGCAGCCTGATTTGTAACCACTACGCTACCAGAGCTCCTTAAAACACCTTTGTTGTTGTTGTTATGTGCTGTGGGGTCGGTTCTGACTCATAGCAACCCTGTACAGGGTTTCTGAAGCTGTAAATCTTAACGGGAGCAGAAAGCCTCATCTTTCTCCCGCGGAACAGCTGGTAGTTTCAGACTGCTGACCATGGGATTAGCAGCACAATTCATAGCCACTACGCTACCAGAGCTCCTTAACACCTTTGAAAGCCCTTAATTTCCATCCAGCTAACAAAGCAATCTCAATGATCCTGCTCTCAGTTAGAACTCAGTGGTGGAATCCTTAGAAATGTGTCATTTAAAGACCAGGTCTTTTAAGAGTTTTCTTAATAAGCATGTCAAGCCCAGCACAGACTGAGCAGAACACTACATTGAGCATGTGCCACACTGAGCTTCCTCGTGTTTCCTTCCAGACCCTATGCATATCAAAGACTGGGAAATGGTGAATACCCTCAAGGGAAAGGTGGTTTATTTGTATTCAAAGGAGTCTCTCCTGGTAAAGTAGATTTATGCTGAATTAGAAGCTAAATCTGAATCTAAACATAATTTGGAAAGCAATCCTTTAAAAAACACAAACAGCCTGTTACTTTTTCATCAGTTCAAGAGCCTAGGTAGCCAGGACAATTGGGCTTCTGTGTATTTCCTTGTCTGATGTTTTGGCCATTCAGTTTTCAGCACCTGAATGGTAAATGCCATTCTTTACTGAAAAGCGATGTGTTTTTCCATGGTGCTTCCTGTGTGTAGTCCACATTTAATAGATGACAGTCCTCTTCCCTTCCTGGTGCTGGTTACCATAGCAACGGTGGCTTGCTCTGGATGTCTTCTGTGGACATCTAATGATAACCCAGCGTAGCGTTGAAGCTGCCAGCCGGTCCAGGGCCTGAGCAGCTGAATCTGCTCATTAAGTGTCATGGAGTGTTTGGGCTTGGAATGAAATTCTGTAGATGGTGAACGTTTAAAATAATTACAGAAAAATCAGCCAACCTGACTTAATGAGCTTTGAGTATCAGATCTGATAAAACTATTTGTATGTAGTTTTAAACAGCTAAATGAGTTTATTCCATCTGGGAGCAAAGGATATGCTTTAAAAAAAAAAAAAAAAATCCTAAGAGGTCATTTCTATAATTAAGATAGTGACATTTTGAACATGTATTTAGCCAGTAGTGGAGATGATACACTTAATTTTGCATTGGTTTTAAGTATTTCTATAACCTTTGATTCCCTTTCTTCAGTGTCTTCAATATCTTTCCATCTCTTGATTTTTAATACTGTAATGTTTGAGTTGTTTCTACAGCAAAATATAGAAACAGAATATTACCACCTCTACATATAATTCATTGGTTCATTCGTACAGGAAATATTTGACAAATGACTCCAGTGCATCAGATACTATGTGAGGCAGCAGGGATGTAAAAGCAAGACATGGCCCCTACCCTGAGGAGTATCAGTGTAGTAGGGGAAGAAGACATGTAGCCCACAGTGCACACGTGATCATGCCAGGCTCTGAGGAAGGACAGCGGAACCACATAGAGGAGATTGAGAAGGCTTCACTGAGAAGTCAGAGTTACATGTTCCAGGCGACTGCCCATGGCTCTTAGGGTAAAATACACAATACTGTTGTTATGCCCAGAATTCGGGGTCCCCAAAGACCACCCAGGAGCCGTGTACCGATGCAAATACATAAGGGAAGTTTATTCAAGCTCGAGCCAGGTCTCTAACCTTATCCAACGCATCGGAATAGGGAAAGAGCCCTGAATTCATTGTCTGCAGGGTTTTTATAGAGTTTTCAAACAGCTCAGGTTTCTCAGCTTTACAATCTTTGGATTGGTTAACAAGTGGCAAACTATGAGATGTTACAGTTTAATTGGTCAGGACTGGTGGTCTTTGTTCTTAGGCTAGGGTAAAGGAAAACATCTGGCCTCTGGCCTTGAGCTGCCTGGCTATTTATACATATATCATATTCTTGGAGCTAGAGGACGTGTTCAGGCTAATGTACAGAATGGAGATTGGCCTTGTCTCTGGAGGGAACTAAAAACTGAGGCCTTGTCTATTTAAAATGCTTTCCTGAGCCTGACTAGAGTTTAGTCAAGCAGTCTCTAGGTAGGTAAAATCAGTTTGGTCCTTACACTATGTTCTGTACGGCTCATCACCTGCTGCTCCTGAAGTCTTTGAGTTCTTCCCACTTCACTCTCCCCAAACCCACACTTTATGTTGACCTCACATGTAAGTCTCTCTCCTGTTCAACTGCTCCGTCTCAGCTAATGTTCTTACTCCTAACCTAGCCAACTTCTGTTCCCTCAAGTCTCAACTTCAATACCCTTCCATAGGGAAACCTCCTCTAAGACCCTCCCCTGGGCAAGAACCCCTGTCACGGACACCACAGCCTCCTACTCTGGAGTCACTTTTATCATACTTCTAGATGTTTCCATCTGTTTTGTCCTCATCCCTCAATTTCTGCTGCTTGGAAAGCACACCTTTGCCAAGATGTACTATATTCATGGTAACTGAGGTCCGGGCGATGAGTCAGACATAGCTGCTTTGATCTTGAGCACTGTCCTATCCAGGTGACCTTGTGCTCCAGTTTACTCACCTCTGAAATGGGGGTGTGTAAACCTAACAGGGTTGTTGTGAGAATTTAGTTGTTGTTGTAGTTGTTAAGTGCCATCAAGTTGGTTCTGAATCATGCCTATGAAGTGCATGTACATCCCCAAGACCTGAGAAACACTCCATTCTTAACTGTTTTCAGGTTCTCTGGACCTCAAATTCAGCAGTTCAAGCTCTCCAGCTGCTCCTTGAAAACCCTATACAGGGTCACTATGAGTTAGAACTGACTCCATGACACTTACAACAACAACAAGCATCCTGTGTTGAATTGTGTGCCCCCAAACGAGATATTTAAATCCTAACCCCTGTCACCTTGTTTAGGGGGACATATGATTCTTTTATTTCAAAATAAAAATAACTTCAACGAGTTTGGGGTGGAATGGGTCAGACTGGTAATGTCTTCATTACCAACCTGCCCCCAGGCAGTTCAGTGTACTGGTTAAGACCTTGGCCACTGGAGTCTGCTGCCTGTCCTCATCTCCCCACCCCCACCCCACCCCCGCATGTGCCCTTGAGAGTGGCTGAACATCCCTGAGCACCAGCTCCTTCCCATGAAGCCAGGGTAAGAATGGTGCTCCCCACCCACTACAGTATTACTACCAGGCCATGTTTAAGAAGCAGCAACCAAGAGACAGCTTTGAGATCTTTTCTCTTTAAATCAAATTGAGGCTGTTTCAGTACACTAGTAGCACTCCAAGGAGTCTGAGAATCACAGGTGCCCCCTTTGTCCCCTCCATAAGTATCCTTATCTCTTTGCCCACCCCTCACCCCCCACCACAAAGAACTCAGTGCTCTTTAAGCTTTTATATATTTTTTAAAACCTTTTCCTCTTTCCAGAAAACAGTTTGGAGAGAGAAACAAATGTTGGCATCCTGGGGTTAGAGAGAAACCAGCTCTGGGGTGGGAGCTGAACAAGTTCAAAAAGGGGACGTAGAAGAGGTTGTCACCACTTGCTTGGGCAGAAGGTTGAGTCGAGTTTTTATTGCCCCTCTATCTCTGCCCCTAATGTGCCTGACCAAGATGGGAGATTTCACAGTCCCAGAATGAGCCCAGTGGGAATGGGAGCTACCCTCTTGTATTAGTTTCCTAGTGACAAATGGCCCCAATATTGGTGGCTTGAAACAACACAAATATATTCCTTTATAATTCTGGAAGCCTGAAGCCCAAAGTCACTTTGATTGGACTGAAACCAAGGTGGTAGCAAGGATACTGTCCCTAGGCATACTCCTTCCATAGGCTCCAAGGGAGAATCCACTTCCAGTCCTTTTCCAGTTTCTAGAGTTACATCCCTTGCCTTCCTTTGGCTCATGACCCCTGCCATCTTCAAAACCACAGTATAGCCTCTTCAGATCACTCTTTTCCTCTCTTTCCCTATCTGCTCTGAGGTCTTTGCATTCTCTTCTCTTTCCTTTGTAGTAGAGTCTGCCTCCCTTCTATAAAGCCAATTGTGATTACAGCATTGGGCTCACTCAAATAATCAGCACAATCTCCCCATCTCAACATCCTTAATTTCATCACATCTGCAAAGACTCTTTTGTCCTATAAGGCAGCATTGAGAGGTTCTCTGGATTAGGATGGAGGTGTCTTGAAGGACCATTGTACAGCTGACCACATGATTCAGCTCAACCAGCATTCAGTGTTTTCATGCGCACTCCACTCTCTGCCAGTCCAAAGCAACTTTTTTAAGGATCCATACTAATGACCCTGGAGTCCTGGTGTGGTGCTGTAGGATAAGCACTGGACTGCTAACCACAAAGTCAGCAGTTCAAGCCCACCAGCTACCCCTTGGAAACTCTATACAGGGTTGCTATGAGTCGGAACCAACTTGATGGCACTTAACAACAACAACAACAGCAACACATTAACAACCACATCATAAGGAATTTGTTTGTTGTAAATGAGAGTAAACCTGATGCAAACCAACTTCAAAAAGAATCTATTTGTTCACATAACTAAAAAGTCTAGGTGTGGGCTTCTGACACCACTTGACTCAGGGCTTGGAAA